ACACTCAACATGCAAACTGGAACCAGACAACTTATCAGCAATAATATCTCTCCTTGCATGTTATATATTACCCCTTTACACATTTTTCAAAGCCTCTCAATTCTTTATCATCCATCCCAACGTATAAAGCATACACATCAAGCAGACGTTAGTATACACATAGCAAAGGGGGCTGTTTAGCAAGACAGGTGTCCAATACTTCATTAAGCTCATCAAAATTTTTCCAAGACAAAATATAATGAAGACGAGAAAACTGTGTTTACTAAGCAGCCCCATTCATGTTAAAAATAAGCTAGATACACAAATGCCACACTTCTTAAGCATCTGTGCATACTTTAAGAAATATAAAGATTAATGTAAAGGATTTGAAGATAAGTAAAGACAGGAAAAGCAAGGATTTATAAGGATCTATGTTTTCAGTCTATACTAAGAACTAATATTAAGGTATAAAACATGTCAACAGAAAAAAAAATTACAGATGAATAGCAAGGAAGTCAATTGTTGCGACCTTAGTTTTGGGTTGTGGAAAAAAAGACTGAGAGGAAGATATCAAGTAAAAAAAAAAAGAGGTAAATAAAATAGAGAAATTAAGAACTTTTGACAGAATCTGAATATGAATCTCATGGAAAGACTATAGATGTGCTATACAAAGTCAGTGCTAAGATCTTGCTTCAATGACAACACATTTGTAATCACTTTCAGCAGGAGACTGGCTGTTCAGAACAAAGAACGAAATACAAATAAAGTGAAATGTAATGATAAACGAAATAGACAAAGGCAAAGTACAGACTTTAATGTGTATGTGTGTGGGGGGGGGGGGGGGGGGTATGGGTGTGTGTGTGTGTGTGTGTGTGTGTGTGTGTGTGTGTGTGTGTGTGTGTGTGTGTGTGTGTGTGTGTGTGTGTGTGTGTGTGTGTGTGTGCATGTGCGTGTGTGTGTGTGTATTTACTATCATTACCATTATCATTTTGCCTTTATTATGACTGTTTTAAATAGTGAACTTAATTCTTCCACATTTCTATATCATTTTTTCTCAAAAAAAAACAGACTAATAAAATTATATTGCACTGCATTGCAAATATTGCTGATATTCCTTGTAGTCTCAAATAATCTTACTGAAAGAACCACACCCTTTATATTTACATTTCTAGCATCTATTTCTGCTTTATATAATACAAGTCTGGAGATTTTTTACTTTTGAAAGAGCACATCTTATCTCCCCATTTCAATCTTCCAGTCTCATAAAAAAAAGAAAAAAAAAAAAAAATTAAAAGGTGTTTCTACAACTACCTTCCCCGATAAGGGTTAAAAACCATCTAATCAATCACCCCGAGCATAGCACTAATCCCCATGAATCCCCGAGACAGAGTGGGTTTTGAATCCTTGCCGGGAAGGTGTGTCGCATCTCAAAGAATGCAAAACTGCATATTGCCCCATTTCGTGTGCATTTTTATTTTTTGCCGTTGGATTCTGTTAGAAGGAAAGAAGAGCCAACACCAACACCAGTACACATGATGGCTTTCTCTTACCTCTATGAGTGAATCTGAAAATAACATAGCAAGTGAATCAATAGGGATGAACCTCTCTAACTTTCTTATCTTTTGTCAAATTGCAGGTTTCTCTTTGAAAGGTTATTTCCATATGTACTACGTATTTAGTCCAAGAGCTCCCTGCTTACAAAGTAATTTTTTAAGCATTCATTCACAAGAGGACATTTACACATTTACACTCAAAAACTTAAAAAGTGCAAAGTGTTCAAAAACAAAACAAAAATCACAATGAAACATTTTTGATATGAAGTAACATATTCAATCCCACCTAACAAATTCCAAAACTAAAATTTTGTTATCAATAAAATATCCTATTCCTTACACATACTTTCAACAGGTATTTATCTTCAAAATTATAACATGAAACATAAAAAATCAAATCTAAAAGTAAACTGTCTCATCATATCTCATTCAACAAATTCTGACACTAATTACCAGTGATCAGATAATAATAATAATTCCACACTAGTCAATACAAAACAACAGGATCACTTTTGTTGTTGATTTATCACAAACTTGATTTCAACCTCTCACTCACTGATATACTCGCACAATACTGCTCTCACTCTTAAGCTCCTCTCACTATAAATATACATTCTTAACTGTTTTCTCAAAATTGTACTTTACATTTATGTCCATATAATACTTTTACCAAATATACATTTATAATTTTCTCCTTATGATGTACCACCAAAATAGCACACACTGCTTTTGTTCTTCATTTCATCCTTTATTCTCATTTTTTACAATCAACAATTAACTTTTTCTCTTACTCTCCTAATCTACTTTATCCTAGCTCTCACATTTAGTCTTGTTCTTATATGCTAATTTCATTCAATAACTAGACTCACTCTTTTATTCTATTATTAGTCTAATAGGCTTTGCTCACTTTAGTTCCAATTCTTATGTTCAGATCCTCCTCTTTCTCTCTATCCTCAGCTGCCCTTCTTCTATTCTTAATCTTCTATTCTAAGAGAACTAAACTCTCCTTCTACTTTTATCTTCATCCTCTATTGTCATCCTTACTGTATCTCTTAAAACACATACACATACTGTTATACATAAACACAAACATACACACAAAAATATACTTAACACTGACTAAACAATTAAATTTCTTTAACACAAGTTTCATCATGGGCACAAATAACTTCTTTTCTTGAGAAACAGCAAATTAAGAAATAAAACATACCTCGTGGAGTGCCTTCGCTTCACGCAGGTTTTGGGATGAGAATTTAAACCCATAAGTGTTGTTCAAAGTTGGACCTTCTATACCCTGTGGGGAAAAAATAGTTATATACTGATTTTTCTATTTTTCTTTTTCTTTTTTTTATGCATTTATGTATCACTTCAATTCAAATTAATTCATCAACTAATTTATCAATGCACATCTACATTCTTATAAATAACAGTCACCTGTGATAATGATGTTAGTCCTTCAGAAAAGCTAAGAAACTGTTGGCGAAATTGTGTGTCCATTAGTTGTCTACGTAGACTGGAATCACTGCTAAGCTGACTACCTTGTCTTGCAATCTGTGAATTATCTTAAATTTAAATTACAGTCCATTTTCTCCTATGATTCATTAATCATTAAAACAAACCTGAAGGTGTGTACAAAAAGTAGGATATTAATTTTATAGATATTTACAGTATCAAACAATCAATTTGAAAACCAGAAAAGTATAAACATACATTCTACATATTTTATTTTGCACTACTTCCTACAACCTTTACCTTTGATGGGACGGATGGAGTAAGTGACACAGGAGGCTGAGAACTGTCAATGAAGTCCTCAGTGTCAGAAAGCGAGAGGTCTGCCCCCACCTCCGACATCTGGGGAGGTTTGTTCTTCTCTGACTGTTCTGTTCCACCTAGAATATTATGGTCTCTTTTATAAAGGATATCTAATTTATCTTAATCTTTTGGCTGAAATTCTCAAATTATCTATCACTTATAAGGATTGGATATTCAAGAAAGATTATAAAATGAACAGAACTAGGCCATGACTGTACCTTGAAGATCGTCCCCTTTCTTCATTCCAGGACCTGTTGTTCCACTGGTAGTAGGAAGGGTTGATCCTTTTAGCTGATGTTGCTTTGGTGGCATATTTGCTTCTGTAGACTCCTGTATCTCCTCTGGAACCAATTCAAGACTACCAAACTTTTCCTTCTTTTGACTACCTTCCCGGTCTAGCCTCTGAACACCTAGGTCTGTGTCTGACATTCCTTCAAAAGAAACTCGTCTCCTCTTGGGTTCGCCTGTAACTGTTGTGAGTGGCGCCTCATTTTCCCATGAAACTCTACGTTTTGTGTTCCTCTGGCCTGATATTGCTGATGGAATTTTTCCCACTGCAGCACCCTCTTCTGATATTTTGGTCTCTCCTATAGGTGTGAGCTGCAGCGACTTAAGGCCTGAGAACTTCTGTGATTGGGGGGTGCTGGTGCTAAATATAACATTTTCTACGCACTTTTTGGACAGACCTTTTGTCTTCTCACCTGATGACTCACTTTGTGTTGTTTCTTTTGTTCCTTTATCTGATGAAGAACTACCTACATTATCCTCTGACTTCCTCTGCTTATCTTTTGAAGATGATGATGGATCATCACCTCCATCATTTTCATCATCATCACTTTCATCACCTTTCCCCTCATTGATTGTCTTAATGATTTTCCTTGCTTTCAGCCACTTTGTTACATCTGCTGGTGATGGTGGAGTTCTCAATGGTGTTAGTATTGCAGACTTAGCACTCCCTTGAGTCTTTATCATATGTGGATCGTGAACAACTTGCTCTGACACTTCTGAATTTAAGGTATTCAAAAGCAACCGCCAATTATACAGCCCATCCTCTTGAAAGCGGCCCTCAAAGTCATCTAAATCTGACGTCACTGTTGTCTGCAATTTAAGAACTTTGCCTCCAATTTCTAAACTTTTTGGTGGTACATCAGTTGGATTGCTACAAAAAGCAGTTGGATGGACTACTTCAGGAATATCATAATTTGCTAGGGTGTTTACAATATGTTCATAGGTTGGTGGTGGTGGAACATACACTAGTACTTTTGAACCTCCTGAAGCAGCACCAGGCCCTGGCACTTTTGGCTTTAGCTTTCTAGCCCCATTCTTCTTTGATGATCCACTACCAGACTGGTCCTGGTCTTTACTTTTCTTCCCTGAGTTAGCATCTTTATTTCCCTGGCTATTGTCACCACCCTCCTGCTCACGATAAAACCCTGGGATAACTTTGTCAATGCTGTGAGTGACTACTAGTTGCTGGTCAGACTGTGGATCCATTGCTTTTTTGTTAGTGTCCTCGGATGTTGAAGCACCAGCTCCATAAGGTATAACTTTGGCTGGCTGCGGGACATATTCCTCTTCTTGCGGTAAATGTGTAGACTTCTCAGAGATATCACTTGGAATGTACTCTGGTGTTGGTTTATCAAGCCCAACTGGGAGGGGACTGTATTCATCCTCTTCAATTATGTTATTGGTTGGTAAAGTTAATGCCTGAGGAATGTACTTGGCTCGTCTTTTTTCACTTGAGAGTGCTTTTGGTACATACTGATCATCATCTCCTTTCTTACCTTTACTTTGAGAACTTGCAGATGTTCGGTTGCTGTTCTTCATATCTTGTTCTCCTTTTGATTTTGTGTTCTCTGACGGCACAACATTCTGGTTTAACTTTGAAGGGTCTTTTTTGGATGAAGAGTCAGACTCTGATAAAGGAACAGTTGCACTAACTTTGGTTTTGTGTTTTTCGGATTTTGAGTCTTTGGATTTCATTTCTTCCTCTGGTTTGGCTGTTGCAACTCCTGATGGTTTATCTCCTGCACTCATAGTTTCTTTTGATGAAGGACTTAACAATTTTTTAGATGATTTTATCTCCAAAGATGTCTGAGAACTTGAACTCTCTTTTGCCACAGAGGTTTGGTTAGTTTCCTTGGATGTTTTAGCATCTTTATTGGACTTTTTCAACTGATCTGAGCCTGTTCTTTTAGATGACTTGGAATCTTTGTCTGATGTTGGTAACTCTCTAGAGGCAGTTTCACTTGAATCCATCTGATGTTTTGTTGGTTTGGATGGATCTTTTGACAACATTTTTGCTGATTTTGCATTCTCCGATTTCATTTGCTCTTTGGTGTTTGGAGATGCATTTTCTCCCTTAAACATCCCTTTAGATTTTGGTTCACTGTCTGGTCTTCTGGAATCTTTTGAAGATTTTGAGCTGGAATCTGATTTTGAAGGGGCTTTTGAATGCTTTGAATGAGCCGTTTTTGACACGTCTTTTGAGGACTTTGGGTCAGAAGCCTTTGACATCTTTCCATCAACTTCAGACTTTATATTACTTTTTGTGGACTTTAAATTAAAATCAGAATTTGACAGACTTTTGGATTTTGAGTCGGAGTGAGATGTTGAGGTCTCCTTCACATATTTAGAATCACGTTCATCTTTTGATGGCTTTTTTGAAGTCTGTGAGGATTCACTCGTTCTTGTGGCTTTCTTTGATGGTTCATGCCTTGTATCTGATTTTCTCTTTGAGGAGCTGTGTCTTGATTCATGTTCTGACCGGGAACTCCCTTTGGATGGTCTCGAATCTTTCTCTGACTTCGATCTTGAGTCTTTTGATGATTTGGAAGTTATTTCTCGTTCTTTTGAAGTATTGTCTGATTTTGACTTTGATTTCAATTTTGAATCATGTTCCAATTTTGATGTAGGTTTGGATTTTGAATATTGTTCTGATTTTGATGCTGTCTTAGATTTTGAATCTTCCTTCGATATAGTTTTCAGTGCTTTCAGAACCTGTTCTAAATCTGAATTCCCTTTAGGAGTCTTCAGGTCCTCCGTATCTGAGCTCTTCTTCGAAGATTTTGAGTCAGACATTTTTGATTCCCCCTTTGAGGTCTTGGAACTATCATCACCTTTTGATGTTCTAGTAGGCTGTGAATCACATCCTGGCTTTGACTTTGAATCGTGCTTTGGAGCCACCAATCCTCCGTTGTCACTTTGTTTCTCAGCCGCGGTCTTTGAGGCATTCTCAGAACTTTTCTTGGAAGATGAACTCTTTGACACAGACATGGGTTTGTACTCAGGCTTTGGGAGAGCTTTTGAGATAGGTTTTGGCTCGTACTCAGTCTTTGCAGTATCCGTGTTAATTGGTTTTGGAGTGTATTCTGGTTTGTTGACAACTGCTGATATTGGCTGTGGTTCATACTCAGTCTCTGAAACTGGCTTTGATGTTGACTTGGGCTCGTAAGCTGGTTTCAATGAAATTTTCTGCGAAGATTTTGGATCATATTCTTCAACTGTATTAATTTTGCTTAATGATTTTGGTTCATACTCTCCTCCTCCTACTTCTGGCAGACTGTCTGTACTATTCAGCGTTCCACGTTTATTTTGGAAGTCAGCACTAGGCTCATATTCCTCATCTTCTTCCTCATCATCACAGAAGGATGAAGATAGATTGCCAAAAAGATCTGTTAAAGTTTTTCTTAATTTGGGTTTGGATTTTCTTTGTTGATCGGAGGCTACTGATGTCTGGTCCCCATCATTCCCAGCTGGAGTTTCTTCACAAAACAAATCATTTAGGGTCTTCTGAAGCTTCTTATTCTTGTCAGCAAATAGTTCAGCCACTTTCAGTTTCTTAGACATGGATGCAGACTCATCTTGAGTATCTGCTGATTCCTGATGATCTCCTTTCACATTTAAAGTTTTATCTTTTGCCTTGTTCTTCTCCTCCTCCCCACTCACACTTTCCTTCCTATCTGGTTCTTCTGATACACATCTACTGCTCTCCTTTTCCATCTGATCCCATCGGCTCCTCTTTTTGACAGTGGTTGTACAACTTTGATCTGGCACTGGCTGAACTTTTTCCCCCTTCTCCACCTTGTTGACCACATCCCAGCGGCTCACGTGTTTCTTGCCGAGGTCTACTTTGCTGGCATTCCTTGTGATGAGCAAAATTTTCCCTTCTAAACATTCTATGTTCGTTTCCCCTGGGCTTTCATCAGCTGTTTTTGTTTTTTCTTTACTGGATATCATTTCTACTGTATCTTTTGGGGAAATAGTTGTAATTTGTGCTTCATTATTTTTATGGCCTTGTAACACAGTCTGATTATTTTTCTCGGGACTTGAATCCTTTTCACCACTATCCCTGCTAGAATTTGCTGTGGCAGCTTCAGCTTGTTCTTTATTATCAACTGCTTTAAGATTATGGTGTTGAACTTTGCCTTCATTTGTTTTGGTAGTTTTCTTTTCTTTACCTTCAGATGTTTTGAAACTTTCCTTTTCTTTAACCTCTGATGTTTTGGTACTTTGTTTTTCTTTATTCTCAGATGTTTTGGTATTTGGCTTTTCTTTAACTTCTGATGTTTTGGTACTTTGCTTTTCCTTAACTTCGGATGTTTTGGTACTTTGCTTTTCTTTAACTTCTGATGTTTTGGTACTTTGCTTTTCCTTAACTTCTGATGTTTTGGTACTCTGCTTTTCCTTAACTTCTGATGTTTTGGTACTTTGCTTTTCTTTAACTTCTGATGTTTTGGTACTTGGCCTTTCCTTAATTTCTGATGTTTTGGTAATATGCTGAATTTTGCCTTCAGGTGTCTTTAGTCTATGTTGTTGAATTTTGCTTTCAGATAACTTAGCACTTTGCTTCTGTTCTTTGCCATCAGATGATTTGACACTTTGCTGTTGGATTTTGTCTTCGGATGTATTAGCACTACACTGCTGCTCTTTGTCTTCAAGGGATGTGGTACTTTGCTGTTGAATTTTGCTTTCAGTTGCTTTGACACTATGCTTCTGAACCTTGCCATCAGATGTTTTGTTGCTGTGCTGCTGAATTTTGCTTTCAGTTGTTTTGGTACTATCCTGTTCTTTGCCATGCTGCTTTACTTTGGCTTCCAATGTTTTAACACTGTGTTCTTTGTCATCAACTAGGACCACATTCTTGCTGTTTTCTGAAGCAACTGTTTCACTACTTCTCTCTTTATTTGAGCTTGATGATGCCTGCTTTTCTTTTTGTAAAGGAGCCTTTGAGCTTGTTTTATCTTTCTCTCTGCATTCTTGATTAGTAGTTTTGTGGATTTTCTTCACTTTCACCAAAGAATCTTTTTTCACCTTGTGAATTACCTTCTTCTTCTTTTTACTTACAACTTCACTTCGTGTTTCTCCAAATATTTTAGCTAATTCTAGATCAAATGAAGTCTTACGCTCATCTCTAATTAACCGTTTTTTGGGTGTACCGCCTGATGACTGGCTAGTGTTTTTTCTTTCAGCTGGTGGAGAGGGAGTGTTCTTTTTCTCAGCTGATGGAGTGGGACTTTCTTCTTTTTCCTTCTGAAGCTTGTCATCCTTTTTCTTTGATTTTGCATTCTCTTTATCCGCACCAATTAATTTTCCTTGCTCTGATGCAACTTTCCCTACTTGATCATCAAAAGAGACTGATTTGTATTTTTCCCTTGGTGGAGTCAATTTTTCAGGTGGCTTTCTCCCTGCATCAGGCTTTGGCAGAACTCTTTCTTTATCAGGAGATTTATCTTTTTGTTTCAAATCCCCTGTTTTATGTATATCAGGACTGTTGACAGTCTTCCTATCATCCTTCTCTCTCAGCGTATCACCCAACTTTACCTTAGGACTCGTTTCCCCTGCCTTTGGTGAATCTGTTCCCGAGCATGTACCCTCATCTTGTTGCAGGGCAGTTACTGTATTATTGCTAGTATCTTTGTCGGTGTTCCCACTGGACGGTAAGTCTTTATTAGAATTATTACTTTTCCTTTCCAACTGACAGGCTAGTAAGTCAAGTTGTTGATATGTTGGACCACTTGCTGAATCTTCTGTAGTGTGAATGGAGTCTTCTGGTTCTTTCTTTACCGATGTCAATGTACTCTCTACAACACCATCCTTATTCTGATCTGTGCATGACTTTTCTCTCACAATAGAACTTGGCAAAGCTTTGTTGGTTAAACTCTTGCTATTCATTTTTGCATCCTTTTCCATTCCATCTTTTCCATTATTGCTATCTCTTTTTTGACTTGCCTCTGATTTTCTTTCATTGTTTTTCATATCACTCTTGTGTTTCTTAGGCAGTTTAGATTCTTGTTCCTTGACCTGCTGAGCATCATCACTGCATGCCTTGCTCGTGTCTAAAGATGTTTCAGGATGTGTTTCTCCAGGTGTTTGTGAATCACTTCTCGAAGAGGTCTTACCTTTTGAGTTATCATCATCTTTATGCTTCTCAGATAAGCTATCTTTAGCTGGAACATCTGCCTTAACTTTTTCTTTTCTTGAGTCTTTTCCTCTGGTCGCACTCTTACTTCCCCGGCTTCTACTTTTATTTCCATGACTGCTTGTACTAGTACTTCTACGAGAGGCTTCCTTTTTCTTCCTGCTGGACTCGTGTGATTTTGATTTCTTGGTCCCTGATGATTCTCTGCTGGAAGACTTTAAATGTTTTAGGTCTGCTTCTGGGGTGACATTTCTAGAAGCAGAGGTACTCTTGGTGGAATCTTTAGCAACAGCTGTCAACTTCTTAGCTTCTATACTTTCCTGCACATCTTTACTCTTCCCCTTTTCTGGTGAGGTTTCATTAATTCCTTGACATGACAGTTCTGAATCTTTCTTTGTGGTCTCACCTACTGTCTTTGTGGATTTGATTTTGTTGTCACTCTGATCATCCTCTAATGATTTCTGGTTACTTTCTGCTGAACTGATTTCAGAGGGTGATATACTAGCATTGGGCGAACTGGACACATCAGCTGTGGATCTACTATTAATATTACTACCTGTCAAATCTTCTTCCATATTCTGCTCATCAGGATCAGGAATTTTAACAAATGATCTTGAAATTGACACTCTCAGTGATAAAGATTTTGGATCTTCATTTTCTTCTCTATCTTTGCTAACTGATCTTAATTCATCTACCTCAGCAACATCTTGTGAATTACTCTCAGTGGATGGTATTGTAGTATCTTTAGGTGAGTTACATGTATCTCCATCATTCACTTTCTTCTGAGTACCATCTTCAACCAATTGACTATCCAAATCTTCTGATGTACAAACTGAAGCTGGACTTTCTCCTTCACTTTGAGATTTCTTGGGTGAAGTGTGTAATGTTTCCTCTTTTGATAACTGAGAAGAGTCCTTAGTTGGTACTTGAGTGGAGTCAGTTGCTGATACTGTAGACTCCTTTGCTGGTAACGGAGTGGACTCTTTTGGTATTTGAGGAGACACTTTTGCTAATTCCTGAGGAGAATCCATAGATGGTATTACATTGGAGTCTTTATTTGTTATTTGAGTTTCCTCAGTTGGTTCTTCAAGAGAGTCCTCTGTTGATACTTGAGGCTTCTTCACAGCCACTTCAACAGTTTCTTTTGTGGATATATGAGAGACTGTAGTTGTTACTTCAGCCAAGTTCTTTGCTGATTTCTGGGACTCCATAGTTTCAGATGACTCCTCTGCTGACATTTCAGGAGAATCTTTTGTTGGTAGCCGAGTGGATTCCTTTGTTGATACTTCAGACTCCTTTACTTTTTGAGTGGAGTCTTTTATTGACACTCCAGAAGACATCTTGCTTGGTACTTCAGTGGTGTCATTAGTTACTTCACAAGATGGCTTAGATGATGGTAAGGAGCTGTCTTTGGATATCATCTGACAGGACTCTTCAGCTGCCACCTTGGATGATGCTTGAGAACAGTCTTTGGTTAGTTCTTGAGAACCAGTCTTTGAAGAAATTTCACAATCTATGGGCAGCATTTCTTTCAAGTTGTCAGTAGAGTTTTCACTGGAATCTTTAGTTACTTTTTCACTTGTGGTCTTACTAGGAGTCTCAGGTTCACTGGGGTCCTTCTCACAAACCTGGGGCAACTCCTTAGAGGAATCAGTGGCTGAAGTATTACTGGATTTTTCCAATGATGTTTTGCTACAATCCACTGAGGACCTATCAACAGAATTCTCTGATGATGCTAGTCCTGTATCCTTGCATGGAAGCATTTTACTGGAATCTTTAGATAAGTTACTAGATTCCTCTAGAGATGTTAGTGAGGAACTGTCATGAGTTTGACTTTTATTAGAAGAAATTTCTTTGTCTGAAGCTTCACTAGACCTTTCTGAGGTATCTTTTTCTGATTCCATGGCTGAATCTGACAAGGAAGTCACATTGGCAATTTCATCCCCTTCGTTCAGAACTGGTGAAGAAACACCTGGCAAAGAAACACTACTCATGTCTGTCTCTGGGGGTTTCTGTGGGCTGTCTGCTGACACTTGATCACTGCCTTTCACTACTACATCCTGTTGTGAAGCTATGCTAGAATCCAATGTAGCTTCCCTGCAATCATTCGGATGGCCTTCTCCAGCAACTCTAGCAACTTCAGAAACATTGGCAACTTCAGCAACACTGGCAACTTTAGCAACTACCTCCAAGTTCTCCACTGAGGCTTCATTACCACCCTGCTCTGAGGTCTGTCTGGGGCGCTTTGCAAGAACTTCAACAGAATTCTCTGATGATGCTAGTCCTGTATCCTTGCATGGAAGCATTTTACTGGAATCTTTAGATAAGTTACTAGATTCCTCTAGAGATGTTAGTGAGGAACTGTCATGAGTTTGACTTTTATTAGAAGAAATTTCTTTGTCTGAAGCTTCACTAGACCTTTCTGAGGTATCTTTTTCTGATTCCATGGCTGAATCTGACAAGGAAGTCACATTGGCAATTTCATCCCCTTCGTTCAGAACTGGTGCAGAAACACCTGGCAAAGAAACACTACTCATGTCTGTCTCTGGGGGTTTCTGTGGCCTGTCTGCTGACACTTGATCACTGCCTTTCACTACTACATCCTGTTGTGAAGCTGTGCTAGAATCCAATGTGGCTTCCCTGCAATCATTCGGATGGCATTCTCCAGCAACTCTAGCAACTTCAGAAACATTGGCAACTTCAGCAACACTGGCAACTTTAGGAACTACTTCCAAGTTCTCCACTGAGGCTTCATTACCACCCTGCTCTGAGGTCTGTCTGGGGCGCTTTGCAAGAACTTCAACAGAATTCACTGCAGGAATTTCACAGGAATTCTTGATTTCCTTGTCATTTTTCCTCCTATTATTGTCACCCTGTGGAACTTCACTGGAATCTAGTGATGGAATCTTATTGGTCTTATCTAATGAAACATCACTGAAGCCTGCTGATGGTAACTCACTGGGTGTCAGTGTTACAACTTCACTAGAGTCTACAGCTGGAATGTCACTCTTAGCATCATTAGTATCTTCTAGGGCATCTCCAGACTCCTCGGGTAAAATGCCTTCTTTTGAGTCTGTTTCTGCAACTTCAGCTGAGGCAGTCACTGGAATTTCATGGGTTTCCTCTGATGGAATGTTAGTAGAATCTTTCACTGGATTTTCAGTTGATTTTTTAAAAGAATCCTCTGCTGACATTATGTTGGATTTATTTGCTGGAACTTCACAGGCATTCTTTTCTGAAATTTTACTGGAGTCCATTGATAAAACTTCAGTGGACTCCTTTCTGGAAGTTTCAATGGTGTCCTTGGATGAAGCAATATTGCAGTCCTTTGATGAATCATCACTGGAGTCCTTCACTGAAACCTCATTTGAGTCCCGTGATAAAATTTCAGTGGAATCTTTTCCAGAAACTTCATTGGGGTCCTCTGATGAAGCATCACTGGAGTCCTTTGATGAAGCATCACTAGAGTCCTTTGCTGAAGCATCACTGGAGTCCTTTGATGAAGCATCACTAGAGTCCTTTGCTGAAGCATCACTGGAGTCCTTTGCTGAAGCATTACTCGAGTTCATTGCTGAAGCATCACTGGAGTCCTTTGCTGAAACATCACTGGAGTCCTTTGCTGAAACATCACTGGAGTCCTTTGATGAAGCTCTACCAGAGTCCTTTAATGAAAAACCACAAGAGTCCTTCACTGAAACTTCATGAGAGACCTTCCCTGAAACTTCACTGGAGTCCTTCTCTGAAACTTCATGAGAGTCCTTCCCTGAAACTTCATGAGAGTCCTTCCCTGAAACTTCACTGGAGTCCTTCTCTGAAACTTCACTAGAGTTCTTCAGTGAACTTTCACTAGAGTCCTCTACTGAAACTTCTTGAGAGTCCTTTAATGAAACTTCACTGGAGTCCTTTACTGAAATTTTGAGAGAAGCCTTTCCTGAAACTTCACTGGAGTTCTTCAAAGAAGCATCAGTGGACTCTTTCCCCGAAAATTCGTTGGAGCCCTTTGACGAAACTTCACCAGAAGCCTCGACCGAAATTTCAATGGATTCTTCCGCCGGGTCCTTCACAACCAATACACTGGTATCCTTTGCTAAGGTGTCACAGGGTTGCAGCAGCCCTCGATCCTTGTTGGTGTCCTTTCCAGTTGCTTCAGCAGAGTTCTTTTGTTTTATTTCATCACTATTTCCCAAAGAAAGATCCTTTGTTGGATTGATACATGACTCCTCTTCACTTCTGGTTGACTTCTCCAGTACATCATCAGTGGCATCAGTTGGTGGAGTCTTACTGGGGTCCTTCGCTGGACTTTCAACTTTATCCGAGTCTTTCTCGGGAACTTTATCTGAGTCTTTCTCAGGAACTTTATCTGAGTCTTTCTCGGGAACTTTATCTGAGTCTTTCTCAGGAACTTTATCTGAGTCTTTCTCAGGAACTTTATCTGAGACTTTCTCGGGAACTTTATCTGAATCTTTTTCGGGAACTTTATCTGAGTCTTTCTCGGGAACATCGCTTGAATTGCCTGTCATGTCTGAGGAAATCTGTGAGTGTTTACCTAAATCCTTTGGTGAAATTGCACACAAATCTTTGTTCAGCTCACTGATGGCTGATGAGCTATGGGTTCCTTTAATACTCTCACTTGGTGGGGAATCAGATGAAATTTCTATACCATGTAACATTTCCAATTCTTCTCCTGGTGAGTTTTCCTTATCATCTAATGCTTTAAGAACTTTTTCCTGCCCTTCTACTACTACACTACTTATCGACTGACTCGCACAGTCTTCACCACTAACACTGCTACCTCCGTCCCTGCTGCAAACTTGTTGATTGTCATCGAGTCTTTGCTCTTTGGTTATTGCACATTCTTTCTCTTTTGCACTATTCTTCTTCTCAAAAATGATTTCCACATTTTCGTCGCCACTTGGGCCCCTTTCTTCCATCTCGCTGAATGAGGGTATGTGAAGATTGGATGACGAATCAGATCGCTCTCTTCTCACAGGGCTTTCAAAGCTGGAAAAGAATAACTTGATGTATTTTATCACACTATGGAACATTCATTTCAACGTGCTGTTCACTATGCAGTCTTATATTGGTGTCACATATATATATTTTTTATTGGTGTGCATGTGTGTACACATGTGCATGCATGCGTGTGTGCATGTGTGTACACATGTGCATGCATGCGTGTGTGCGTGTGTGTATGTGTGTGTGCGTGCAGGCATGGGTAATTATTGAATGACTAAAGATTCTCTAGATATATCTTGATAGATACAAATTCACTCACTCACTATCACACATTCATCCACTAGCACACACTCACTCAATATCAAAATCTCACACAATCTCAGACTCACTATCACACTCACTCACTATAAAACCTATCACATTCACTCACTATCCTACTCTCTCACTCTCTCTCACTCATTTATTCTCACTCACTATCACTCATTCATTCACTCTTACTCACTCACTATCATTCATTCATTCACTCTTACTCACTCACTTTCATTCAGTTTTACTCTTTCACTCAGTCTTACCCTCATTCATTCATATGTTCACTCACTCTCATATTTTCACTCACTCACATTCTCACTCACTCTCACATTCTCACTCACTCATTCTCACTCACTACTCTTTCATGCACTCTCATTCACTCAAGTCTCTCACTCTCACATACTCACTCATTCACTCTCTCATTCTCACTCACTCTCTCACTCACTATCACACTCACTCACATTTACTCTCATTCACTCACTCATTCTCATTCAGACTCACTTACTCATTCACTAACTCATTCTCATTCAGACTCACTTACTCATTCACTTTCTATCATTCACTCATTCAATCTCATCTCATCTCTCTCTCACTCTCACTCACTCACTTTCACTCACTCACTCACTCACTCACTCACTCATTCTCATGTAATCTCACTCAATCTATTTCATTCACTAACTCATGCATTCTCATTTAATCTCACTCTCACTCCCTCACACTCTCTCACTTTCTCTCTCATTTAATCACTGATTCACTCACTTACTCACTCACTTACTGTATCTCTCTCTCTCTCACAGACTTATTTTCACTCACTCACTTTCACTTAGCATTTTCACTCACTTTCTCACTCTCATTCATTCACTTACATTCACCCTCTTACTCTCACTTATTCACCCCCTCACTTACACTCATTCTCACTCTTACTCCCATTCATTCATTCATTCTCACTCTTACTCCCACTCATTCATTCATTCTCACTCTTACTCTCACTGACTGACTGACTGACTGACTGACTGACTGACTGACTGACTGACTGACTGACTGACTGACTGACTGACTGACTGACTGACTGACTCACTCCTCACTCACTCACTCACTCACTCACTCACTCACTCACTCACTCACTCACTCACTCAATATCACTCATTCCTTCTCTCTATCCACATATACATACACTTTTCATGCAAATCAATTAATAACTAACAGTATTACACCTGTCCAAGTCATACCTTCCAGGCTGTAGTGTTACAATTGCTGGATATAACTGCTGTCTTGAAAGGTTCCTTCTGATGTTTGAGTCTGAGCGCCCTGGTGGATATAATAAGTTAAAAATGCTTATAGTAATCAATGATCATTCATGAATTTATGGATTAGTTCAAAACAAGGTTGAGCATTTTTTTTACAGCATTCCTATGTATGATTACAGCTTTACCACATTCATGTATTCTTCTGTAGTTAGAACCCTAATATCAAATAAAACATACATAATTCTTTAGAACTACATAATTTCAAATGGCTTTGTTATCACTTTCTTCTGAATGGTAAATAGAAACAAGAACTATCAGAATAACACTATTGATATCAAAATAGAAATCAAATCAAATCGTTCTTTCAATTTTCATTCAATTTACACCACTTCAGCTTTACCATTATTGCAAAAGATTTCTGCCATCAAAGACCAAAGCAATAGACCTAAAGAAAAATAGGTAAACCAACATTGTGAAACATACCTGGAGAGCTTGGTTGAGGCGGAGATATCTCATCCCTCTCCCTTCGTTCTGGTGTGAGGAAGGCCATATTCCACATGGAGTCATGATACTCTGAGTCGTGATCGTTGATGCCGTCACTGTACTGCACAGGCTTCAGAGGAATATTTCTCACAGGACTGTTACTACTGCTCCCCGAATCATTTCCATCGCCATCTCCATCACCCCCTGTGCCACTTTCTCCATGGCTGTTTTCTTCATCTTTAGTGTTGATGTTCGTACTTCCATTGTCACTGGAGCTCTCTTTTCCATGATTAGTGTTTTCAGATACAATGTTAGATGTCGCTGCAATTGAGAGAGCAGGTGTATCTTGACACATTACCTTACTACTTTCAGCATTCAAGCTTCCCTCTGCTTCTTTTAATGAATCTTCCACAGCCAACTGTTCAGATTTTTCTTGTTCTTTACTTGTGGATGGCTTGAGGTTGGATGCCATAGGCTGTTCAGATAATACAATAATTTCTGATGTTTTCAAAATTTCATCATCTTGATCTGATGTTTCCTTTCTTCCTACCTCTTTCTTGAATTCTAAATTACTTTCTACATTATTCTTAATATCAGTTTCATTTGTGCTAGACTCTGTCTCTTTTCTCGCTTGGTCTCCTGATGCCTCGGTCATAAGCTTTCTAGTACTATTCCGCTCTTGTTGGGGTGGACTCCTTAGTACAGTGTGTGGTGAGGGACCATCTAACCTTCTTAGAGTTTCTTCTATGTCATCATCCAAATTTCGTTCACTATGTGCTGCTGGTGCCAGTCTGTCTTGACCTCCCCCTTGTGTAGAACTATCTTTATGATCAGCATTCTCAGAATCACAATTTTCATCTAGTCTCTTGTCTGTATCTTGTTTGTGTTCTTGTGCTTCTCCTTGTGATCTTTCAGCTATAATTTTGCTAACAGGTAATTTAATATTCTTATCTGAATTAGCTGACTCCCTATTGTTCAGTCTTTTAGTTATGCATGTTATACTTTCACTGACTTCTTCAGTTCTTGCTGTTTTCTTAGGTACATTTTCTTTGGGATTTTCTGTAAGCTGACTTCCATCCGACTCAACACTTGGTGTTGACTTTGTATCTTTCACATTACTTTCACCAACCTTTGGACTAACATCATCAGAATTCCTAGTTTCCTGACCATCAGCTTGATCTTCATTTTTGCTCTGGGGTGATTTTGTCAAAACTGGCTGTTGGGGTGAATGCACATCTTGGCTTTTCTCCTCTTCTTCAGCATCATCTAAAATAATTTTCGAACTGCTTCTCTTCAACATTGCTTGGAAAGTTGCATTGTTAAAGATCAGATTTTTGGCTGTCTTCTTGTTCACATCTGGATCACTGAATCCATCATCATCATCTGTACTAACTTGCCTCTGCTTTCTTAGATTTCTCAAATGCTTCCGTGGTCCAAGCCTTGCTGCATGCCTTCTGCCTGATGTAAAACCAGTATCATTCTCATCCTGGGAATCAGTAGAGGAATTAATAACTGCTAAGGTCTTTATTCTGGTGCGTTTTGGGCGCGAGATTCCTCTACCACGGCCTCTACCACGGCGATGAGGTACATGAAGTGGCTGCCTTCGTAGTCTGCTGCTTTGCCTCAAGGTCATCCTTGTTTCTGGTTCCTTTTGCTGAGCCTCTTCCATAGCCTCCTGATCTTTGCTTTTTGAGCTATCACTTCTTACACTTGAGCTCTCAATATCTGAGTTCAAGCTTTCTTCCAGGTTGCTCGAATTGCTGTCATCAGTATGAAGGCTTACACTTTTAATGTAACTTAACTGCTCTTGTGCCCCACTGTTTTTGCTGGAAATACATTTTTCTTCACTCCCCAAAACTGGGTTTTCTTTAACATTTTCACTGTGTGGACTTTCAGTTTCACAAAATGAACTATGTACTGATGGCAAGACATCAGCATCTTCCACAGTCTTATCTCCGGTGTTATCCTTACCATCTTTATCACTATCCAATTTTTCTTTGGGTTCAGATTCATTGATTGGAGCTTCAGAAGACCCATTCTCATCTTGTGGTTCGGTGTCCTGAACAAACATCAGTTCTTCAGTACTTGAATCCAAGCTGCTACTGTCTTTACTTTTTGAATATTGAGATCTTCTCTCTTTTAAAATCATATTTAATTTTGCCTCCATTGGAACTGCACCTTCTGATCTGATATTTCTTTCACTTCTTCGTGGTTTCTTTACAAGTAAACTTTCAGGGGGACTTGCTAGAATTCTCTTTTTTACATTTTCTCGGACTCCAAATTTGTCAGGCAATGCTTTGCAATCTTTCTCAGTATCTTCCTGTGTCGGCTTAACCACCTGTGTTGATAAAAGTTTTTGGGCTCTCCTTGTAAATTTTTTAGGTGCACTAACATTTGCTTCTGGAGAAGAGCTTGATGTTCTTTCAAGGGTTCCTATCACTTTGGGAGAAAGCTTTTGCAAAAGAACTTTGGGCGGAGTTTTAAGCTTCCTATCCCTGACCATTAAAGTGTGAACGGACAAATCTATAGGGCCAGGAAACATGCAATTCGTATCCTTAGAAAATAGCTCAGGTGACGAACTCATCTGGTGATCAGAATCTTCACAAGGTAAGTGATCGTATACTTCAGAAGCTAATGACTGCTTTTCAACACTGTCAGAGGAGCTCTTTTTTTTATCAATGACATCTTGTAGTGTTGTTGGTGTTTCACTTCTAACAGAACTGTTGCTTTTATCTCCTAACAATAAAGCTTCAAGATCTTCATCATTCATTGTTCTTGCATCTGGTGTTTCAATCCTCTCAGAGCTTTTATTTGGTGAACCCAAGATAGCAGCCAACTCCAATTCCACAGAGTCCACTCTCACAGACCGACCAGGATGAGGTGTCCCTGTAGGTGTACCATGCTGAATGGGTGTAGGAACTGGAGATGTAGTTTTAACTAGTGATGATTGTACTGTTGATGATTGTTTCATATGTTTACTTTTGTCACCCTCCTCTGACAGATTCTGTGGCATGCATGATTTGGTTGTCTGAGGTAATGAAAATACTTCTTTTCCTACTGAACTATATACTACTGTGGATTGTGAAGGTTTTGGTGAAAATGATGGCTGAGTTGTAGTTTGCAGAGATGTCTGTGTTACTGAATTTTGTGTTGGGGATGTTTCTGCTACTGAAACAGAACTGGGTGGTGTTGGAATATTCTGCAAAATTTCTGTTTGTTGTGTTATGTCTTTCTGTTTATTTTCATCTCTACTGTTCTGTGTTTCCTTAGGTTGTTTTCCAAGATCATATTCCTTCTTGTCATGCTGTGTGCATACTTCTGGAGACTGGGCTTTTTCCATATTTGTCTGTGGTGTTTGATCTTGCTGCAATGTGTGTTTCTTGATGATATTAGAGGAATCAGCAACAAGACTGCCAACTGCTACACCTTCCGATGACACAGGTGCATCAAGTATGCGCAACTGATCTTCCAGCTCCTTTGCTTGGGTGTCAGTAATTTTTTCTTTCTCATTACTAGGTCTAGAGCCTCCTTCACTGGCAAGATCAAGTTTGTGAACTGTTTCTTTGATAGGATCTGGTGGAACTGGAGGCTTAATTTTGATTTTGCAAGGTGTCTGCAGCACTGGAGGTACCTTAGCAATGCCAATCATCTCATCAGCATTTTCAGATTCTGTCACACCTCCATCAGTAGTTGCTCCATCATTATTATCAGTTGTAACGTCTGTGTCATATGATGCACTCTGATCTATATCTGAGGGTTCGTCCTCACTCCTATCTTTTATAATAATTTCTTCATTCTGTTCCCAGTGTGAATTGCAACGTTTCAGTCTCAGCACTGGAGTTGCTGGAATCACAAATCCATCCTCTGTTTGTTTTAACCTTTTTAATGAACCCTTTTGTTTATCACTGGCCTCAAGCGATGATGAAAAGCCAGACACAGCCGACTTCTTGATGATAAGCGTTGGAAGTCCTCGTTTGCTTGAGCCTGAATCCTTCTCTTTAGTAACTGACTGTTTAATGATACTTGAGTGAGATGCAGAAGCTGATGCAGCTTTGTGTGATGCATGTTCACTTTTCTCAGAGGTGCTTGCTTGAATATCTCTGGAATTAGGTACCTGGTCATCACAGCAAGATGTACTGGTGCTTCCTGTATCTTTACCATCTTTTTCTTTGCTATTATTATTCTCTTCCTCAACTCTACTAGATGAGGTACTATCAACAGTAGACTTAGAGGGTACAGCTGGCTGAAGTTGAGCTTTTTCTCCAATACTACGTTTCTTGATCCTGAGAATAAGTTGCTCTGGGCGTGGCTTTTTCCGCAAGCGAATCTTCAAACCTCCACGAGGTGTTGATCCAGGGCCTGAATAGGTTACTCTGTGTTCTGGGGTATAAATTGGATATGGCATTGAAATATAGGAAGGAGTCATATAACCTGGGGTATGGCAGGGTGTACGAGATGGGGTTCTTAAGTAACTGAAATTTGGATCTCTTACTGGAGTTCTTATGGCATTCTGCACAATTTTCCTTGCTCTCCTATACATGGGGTTGCTCGTCTTGCCCCAGCTCTTTAGCCTCTGAGCAACAGGAACATCTTCATCACTGACATCTTCATCAAATTCATAAATATTCTTACTGCCCGCCTTACTCAGTCCTCCAGTCTCCTCAGAACAGTCAATGCCAAGAGGATCGTGAGGGTCACAGTGGAGTGGGAAAGCCTCTGGTGACTCCTTGCCATCGAGGTTACTCAGCTGACGATCTACAGTCATGGAAGAGCTTACATTTTCAATACTTGCTGGATTTTCATCATTTCTCTTTCTCTTTCTTGGCGGCTTCTTGAAAGTGCTATCTGCAGTCCTCTTTCCCCCTGCTGTACGTCTGATGGTGATCTTCAATTTTGATTCTTTATTGCCTACTACAGTAAGCTGGGGAGATGGTATATCTGATGGTTGAGATTCACCTGCAAGTTCAGTTGTTTTGCCAGACATTACACCAGCTTCTAAGGTTTCAGTGGTATTACTGTCATTTTCCAAGTTTTCATTAGGAAGAGATTCATTGGGGAATTGAGCAGCCAACTTCCTTTGTGTTTGCATTCTTCCCTTCTTTGTTGGAGTAGGATTATCTGTATCATCTGAGAGGTTTACACTATCATGTAATTCACTGAGATTTATTGTTGTTAAACTATCATTGGCGGAATCAGAGCCCAAGATCGATGAATTTGAATTTTCCTTTGTAGAGACATTTTCAGCAAGAAATGGTGTAACAGCTGGTGTTGTAGGTACATCTGGCAATGTTTGTAGTCTTTGTTGTTCTTGTTCTTTATTTATCTTTTTTGGCCTTCCCCGACGTCTTTTTACAGGCTGACCTGCACTAACAGGTGACTGCATTACATTTGATATATTAGGGGATGGCTGAACACTTCCTGAAAGTTGGTCATTCATATTTGTGAATTGAGGCACAGGTGGCAGAACCTTAGCAGATGGAGTTAGTGCATCAGCATCAAAGAATTTTGCATATGAGACATTTGCACATGCACGCCTACCTCTCAAACGTGTTGGAGGAGCTGGTTCTGGTTTTGAAAAAACAATTCCTGAATTATCTTTTTTATTAGATAACCCTTGCATTCTATTTTCCTTCACTACAGAATTTTTCTGTGTATTTGTTTCATCTATGGGAGTTGCAGGAGCTTCTGGCTGTGTAACTCTGGTGTACTGACTCTTCTTGGGTGGTAAAGTTTTGCACTTTTTGGGTGGTCTTCCTCGTGACTTCTTGTAAACAATTGGGTTATCTGGTGTTGTGGATGTTACTTCTGAGCTACTGTCTGGGGTGCTAGTTTCAACCACCTTTTGGATCAGTTCTTCACTAAAAGCTTTCAGTGCTCCCTTTGTTGGTGTCCTTTTGATGGGCGTTTTCAATTTCAAAACTAACTTTGGTCTCTCGACTTCAGTATCAGCAGGAACTATCACAGAAGCACTTACACTCTGGTCACTTGAAACTATATTCTGCTCATGAACTGGGGTACTTTCTCCAATTTCTTTTCCTGTGAGGGATTCACTGATTGGTTGATCATCAGACACCTCTCTAGCTGATAAATTGCTCTGGGAGACCAAGCTCGACTTAGAAACATCAACAGACAAAGTGATACTGTCAGGTTTCTGAGAGGAATCTAAAGCAGGTGATCTTGATGCCGGAATATCAGGTTCTGTCACTACTTTTGGATCTTGATGGTCTACTGATCCTGATTTCTCAACTTCGCTCTCTACCTCTTGATCTTCATTGCAACATTCTGATAATGAAACAAGTTCACTTCTCATTTCTGCTGATGGATCTCTGATATCTACACTTGGCTCCTCAACATCTGCTTTACATGAAATAGCTGGCCCATCAGCTGAGATCTGATTGTTACTACCCTGACTGCAAGTAGCAACTGTTGGTACTGATTTCTCTTCAGCTGTTGTCAATTCCTTAGATGCCTGTGGCATTTCATCTTCTGTATTCTCACCATCTGAGGATCTTGGGAGGGAGCATGGAGGCGGAGAGTTCGCAGAGAAACGTGATGTATCACTTGCTTGGCTAGATGAGCTACTCCGCCTCGTTATAATTCTACATCCAGCCATATTACGACCAGAATCAGCATCACTATCATCATGCTCCTGTAGTAGGTTAGCTTTTAAGGCATGGAAAGAAGACTCAAAGCCTTTTAACCGGTCCACTGATGATTTTCCTACCTGAGTTAAGTCGACCTCTTTTGCTGCCTTGCTACTGTCCTGTTTCTGAGAATCTTCATCCAAGTCTTCTAAAATGAACTGCTCTCTTGATGTCTCAACAATACCTTGTAGAATAGACAGTGTTTCACTGATGTTATCTGAATGAAGGCTTTTCTGGATGATTGGATTATTTTCTGTTTCCTGAGAAGTTTTTGAATTTTCTTCAGGTACAGTCACAACATCAACTTCTGTGGCTGCATTGTCATCCTCAAACTTTGAAGAAATGCTCTTCTTGAATCCTCTACTGAATTGGCGGTCTGTTTCCTGATCTTGGTGAATACTCCGTAAATCTCGCAACTGAGTCTCTGATAAACTTACTTCAAAATTTGGTTCTTTGAAACAATGTGTACTTTCCTTTCCTGGTGCCTCCTGCTCTTCCTTTGCAGTAGAGGGAGCATCTCCAAATTTGCAAGGCTATTTACTGTTTCAATGATGTTATCTGAATGAAGGCTTTTCTGGATGATTGGATTATTTTCTGTTTCCTGAGAAGTTTTTGAATTTTCTTCAGGTACAGTCACAACATCAACTTCTGTGGCTGCATTGTCATCCTCAAACTTTGAAGAAATGCTCTTCTTGAATCCTCTACTGAATTGGCGGTCTGTTTCCTGATCTTGGTGGATACTCCGTAAATCTCGCAACTGAGTCTCTGATAAACTTACTTCAAAATTTGGTTCTTTGAAACAATGTGTACTTTCCTTTCCTGGTGCCTCCTGCTCTTCCTTTGCAGTAGAGGGAGCATCTTCCATAATTTGGTCAGCAACAGATGTACCAACACATGCTGCATCTTCTCCACCAATTATGCTGACAGGAGTGCTAGCCTCAGTTCGTGGGTGATCTACCGAACCTCTGTTAACTCTCTTTAAGAATTTTCCCAGTTTTCCTGCTTGTTCATGACGAGCATCATCATGCGAAATGCTCTTCTTGAATCCTCTACTGAATTGGCGGTCTGTTTCCTGATCTTGGTGAATACTCCGTAAATCTCGCAACTGAGTCTCTGATAAACTTACTTCAAAATTTGGTTCTTTGAAACAATGTGTACTTTCCTTTCCTGGTGCCTCCTGCTCTTCCTTTGCAGTAGAGGGAGCATCTTCCATAATTTGGTCAGCAACAGATGTACCAACACATGCTGCATCTTCTCCACCAATTATGCTGACAGGAGTGCTAGCCTCAGTTCGTGGGTGATCTACCGAACCTCTGTTAACTCTCTTTAAGAATTTTCCCAGTTTTCCTGCTTGTTCATGACGAGCATCATCATGCAAATCTCCTGTTGTTGGGTACAACTGTCTCACAGATGCACTACATTCATCATCTTGGGATGTTAATGAACCACCACTTGTGCTAACATTTGCTGTCCCTTCAAGGCTATTTACTGTTTCAATGATGTTATTACTAACAGCATTACTAGCACTACAACTTAAAGATCCTCCCCCAGTGTTTCCAATAACAGAGTTATTACTATTTCCTGACATAATGGCATTTGGGAAAAGACTTCCTGAGAGTGCACTTCCTGCAAGAGAACTTTTCAAAATGGATTCTGGCACAGAACGAGGTAACCCATACACACCAGTGTGTGATGTTGTTTCATGAAGATTTGAACTATTCTGATGAACTACTGGGCTAGTGAGGGGTACCTTTGCTTTTCCATCAGTAAGAAGTTTTTGGGACGTGAGGTGGTGTTGTAAGGACTTTCCTAACCCCTCTAATTTTGATCCTTCAGAACCAATTGAGCTTGCAGGCAATAGTTCTGGTGCTTCATCCACAACATTGATAGGACTATCATCTGGTGAAACTTCCTGACTTGGCTTGGTTTCCTTCACACAGTCTGGTTTTACTGCAGTTTCATTACTATGTGGTCTGTGCCCCTCTGGTAAACTGCAGGGCTGTTGAAATATCTGAGATGGATAATTAGGAGGTATAAGAGATCCCTGTGCAAAGCCCCCACGAAAGTGATAAGAGTTAATTCCAGGTCGATATAAGGGAGCAAGATTTTGGGGTGCTTTCAGCTGTGCTGCAATTTCACTTGACATACCAGGCCACCGTAAGGGAATCAAAGCTGGGTCCATCTGAAAAGGTGACTCTCTCAATTCTGAGCTAGAACCATACCTCCAAAATGGATGACCTTGGTCTTCTTTTCCCATATTCTGTGATGTTAAGTCCTCTTTTGCCCCTATGTGTGGCCTGTTAGGTGGTTGTTGTGGTGGATACACCCCAGCACGATGCCCATGGCTACCTGGGCTGAGTAGAGGGGGTGGGGCTGCCTTTGATGTCGTCAATATTGAGCCTCTCATAATTGGCCTTTCCTTGTACATCTGAATGGCTCTACCTCCCAATTCTGGTCTCAATTTCAGAGGATGAGGATGGTACCTTGGGTGAGGTAATAAAGGTGTGATGCCAGGAACACTGGGTGGAGCCATGGACAGCACACTTTCTTCGGGTGGTTTAATATCATTCTCTTTACATGAGGCAGGACTCGGAGTCACTCGTACCAGTGACACAACTTGGGCCTGAGAAGTAAATGTTCCTTGACATTGAATTTCTGAGTCTTTATTATCCTCAGATACTATCTGGACACTTCTCTTTCGTATGGGAACAAAACGTTTATCACGTACAGAAATCTCTTGTACAGGAAGAGGTAAAGGTGCAGGTAAATAGCTTAATGGAGTTTGCTGAGACTCTCGAGGTGCTACTTCAGTACCACTTTGAACATTAGACCTACTGATTAAGTCATCATGGAGTATGGTAGAGATGGGGTTGCCACCACTATTAACTTTCTGAATAACAAGAGACAGAGGGGAAGTCTGCGGAGTTTGAGGGTCTGAGTATGGAGAAGATGATGGGATTTTGAAGGAGTTTACACTGGGTGTGCTTTCTCTTGACCAATCTGATCTGCTCTTTGAGCTAGATGAAGATGCAGGAGAACCTCTGATCAATCGAATATGTCCATATGGGGTTGCTGGCAACCGATCATCAAGATCAGTACCGGACAGGTGGCTAGGAAGCGTTTGAGGTAACTCAACAGAACCAAGAGAATCAACAGATCTTGTGTCATGCTCCACCACTGGGCTAGGACCTGGTGCACCAACTGGGTGTCCTATAGGGACTTGTCTATTCTGGCTGAGGATAACAGGTTGTGGAACTGCCTGATTCATTTTCAGGAAAGAAGGTTCAAGAAGAGCTCCTGGTCGTGGGACAAGACCTGCGTAACTACAAGTGCTGGATGACTGGTATGCTTCAAACCTGTTTGGCTGTGGATTTGGCTGAGAAACTGGAGCAGACTCATGATGTGGGAGCCGACCTAAACTGCCCTGATCATGCTTTTGACTGGGATCCGTGGATTTGGGTTGTTCTTCATGTGCTACTCCTTCAACTGTTGTAGAATTCTGAGTTGATGATATTAATTGCTTCTTAAAATGAGTTTGAAATGGACGTGACAAATGGTGGGATGGGGACTCTGCAGATATACTGGGTGGCCTCTGGCTTCCCTCTCCCATAATCTGTACTGCATTTGGATACATGTGGCTGCTGTATGGTGCTGAAAACCCTTCACCAGAGGCAGAATCAAGTTCTGTTTGTGCTGTTATAGGTTTAGGAGTTGGAGCAGTTCCAACCAATCTAGCCTGAAGTTCTGGGAAAGACGGATCATGCTGAAACTGGTGAGATCCACTGACTGATAAGTAGCGAGATCCAGAATCAACTGGCGCTACAGATTTGTTTGCCAATGAGGAATCCAGTGACAAAGTATTCATTATACCTCCATGGTGAATTCTTGTTGTTATAATGCTAGCTTCAGATGATGCCCCAGATGCAGAGGGCATTATACTTGTAATAGGAACACTACTCACTCTTGGTATTGAAGAAACAACTGTATTATCTAGTACCACCCCTGATGCACTGGGAGATGATCCTGGTGGCATGCTCATTACAGGTAAGATTTTCCTACTTTCAGAGAGAGGTCTGGCAACATCATAAGGTGATGTCAGAGGATTAGGTACACTAGTAATGATAGTATCAGGTGCTCCTGCTGGTACCTTTGAATTCAGATTTTGTAATTTATGTGTTGTAAGTGGCACAGGAACAACTTTGCTTGGATTATCAGCTGATGAGAACAGCGGCATTAAAGAGCCTTCCCTAGAACTAGGCCTGACTCCATCTGAAGACGATTCAGATGTGGCTGGCAGCAGTAGAGAGGCTGTTGAGGACATGGGAGTTATGCTTGCTGCTGAATATGTTATTTCCCCTAATGAAGTAACTGATGAAACACTTGGAGAAGTAGCTGTGGACATGGTGGTAAGTAAAGCTGAGGATGATGCTGTTACGACAGTACTCGGTGATGTAGTTTGTGGAGATGACACCTGTGCAACAGCAGAATTTGATGTCAGTAATACAGGTGTCACAGGTCTTGTCAGTGAAACTGGAGTTAAAATTCTTGCAATTGCAGCTGGTGTTTGTGCCCTCACACTAGGCATCTGGACAAAATTCTGTGTTGAGGACAAACCCACATCTGATGCTTCAGAACTCTTAGGTTCCACAGCAACTTCTGTATTCAATTCTGGTTGCATATTAGATGTTACCACTTGTACTGAAGAACTTGCTGGTGTTGGAATTCTTCCTGGTGATGGCAACACTGTTACATCATCTACATCACTTCTTAAAGAGAATCCTCCATCTACTGATTCTGTATTTTTCTCAACTGATGACATAAATGGTACTGCCTCTGAAGTTGCTGTCAATGATTCAGCTGCTTTCGGAGATACTAACTTTGTAACAGACTCTGTGACCTCTGTTCCCATAATTTGTGCAGTTGGTCCTGTAGTTACATGAGTAGGATAGGCAGATACTAAAGGTTGGTCTGTGGAACCAAGAGGTAATGATTCTGATGATGGAGAAAATTTATCTGCAGACACATTCTTTTCACTTGCTGGTGACTGGTGACTCATCTTCAAAGCATCTGTCACATTTGCTCCTAATGACACTCCAAATGAGGCATTTTCCTTGGTAAAAAAAGGTGCATTCAAAGCAGATTGTTCCCTTGGCGAAATATGTGGATTTGACACAGGAAGGAAAGTGGAAACTGTTGCTATTTCTGGGCCCTCTAAACCTTTCGAAACACAAGTGTCTTTGTTAGATTCTGGAACCATGAGGGGTGATGCTTGTGTATATGGTGAAGTTACTGCTGTGTTGGATGAATGTGAAAAAGTTTCTGTTAATTCTAAAGTTGTAGCTGCATATGGTGACGATACATGAGGAGACTGTGACTTTGACAGGGCATTGGCCAAATGCGATGATGTGGGAACACACATGAACTGAGGAGAAGTTGTAATTTGTTTCAGTGGAGATGAAACTGGTACCTGTGCCATTAATGGAGATGAAGTTACTGACACTGTTGGTGAAGCTGTGGTCATCTGCATAATGGGTGAAGTCAAAGAAGTGTGTGTTGTCTGCACAATGGGTGAAGTCAAAGAAGTGTGTGTGGTCTGCACAATGGGTGAAGTCAAAGAAGTGTGTGTTGTCTGCATAATGGGTGAAATCAGAGAAGTGTGTGTTGTCTGCATGATGGGTGAAGTCAAAGAAGTGTGTGTGGTCTGCACACTGGGTGAAGTCAAAGAAGTGTGTGTTGCCTGGACAATGGGTGAAGTCAAAGAAGCATGTGTTGCCTGGACAATGGGTGAAGTCAAAGAAGTATGTGTTGCCTGGACAATGGGTGAAGTCAAAGAAGCATGTGTTGCCTGGACAATGGGTGAAGTCAAAGAAGCATGTGTTGCCTGGACAATGGGTGAAGTCAAAGAAGCATGTGTTGCCTGCATAATGGGTGAAGTCAAAGAAGTGTGTGTTGCCTGCACAATGGGTGAAGTCAACGAAGTATGTGTTACTTGTGAATTAGAAGCCCCATGTGGTAACTCAGTGGAAGAAGTGATATTTGCTACCTGTGGACCTAGAGTGGATTCTGGACCTAAAGTGGTTTGTGTTATTTGAGGGGCTTCAGATGTCTGCATTAAAGTTGCTGAAGCTTGGGATAGCTGTGTGGCTGAGCTTATTTGTGGTAAATGCGAGACCAAAGGTGACGGTGTTAAATGTTGACTGATATTAGTATGCATCAAGAGTGGAGCTGTGGTTGTCTGAGTCAAATGAGAGTGTGGAATCAAAGGTGTTAGTTGTGAAGCTGTGGTCACCTGGGTTAAGAGAGTGCATGTACCTACATCCAATGAGTGCGAGGTTGCAGCTGAATAACTGACTTGAGGGAGTTGATTTGTTACTGCTATACTGGAATTTGGGGTTTCCTGCATTAAATTTGATACTGAGGTTACCTGTGCTAAAGGCATGTTTGATGTGAAAGGTGATGATGTACCTGTGTGTGCTAAATGTACATTTTTTTCCTCCAATTGTGTTGGTACATCTGAAACAGATTTAACGTCAGGAATGACTACATTTGAAAAGGCATCTTTTGACTGAGGTTCCATACAAACTGAAATCCCTTCATTGTCATTACCTGATTTATCTTTGTCACAAGCAACCTCACTATCTTTTGTGACACTCTGACTTTCATTTTCTTTATTTTCTGCATCACTCTGCATTTCTTGCTCTAAGAAGTGTAAAAGTACAGGAGGCAATTGTGGTGGCTGAGAGCTACATGATGAATCTTTCTGACTGTCATCTGCAGGGAGATCAAGCTGAACTGCACTAGGTGGAACTGGTGTGATATTGGTCTTATCAAGTGTGAAAAGAGGAACATTCTGCAGATTTGCCTCACTTTCACCTGTGTCTACTTGTGGGACTTCTGTCGTCTCCTGAAGACGTAAACAGAAATCCTGATTACTAAATTCTTCAGCAATCTCAGCAAACATCTTGTTGGATGGCTTATCTTCTATATCAAGCAGAGTTGATTGGAATGCTTGCTGAACTACATCTAAAGGCTCTTGTATATTTGCATAACAAATTTCATCTGGCTGGACTGATGTCATTCTAGAATCAATGTTTCCTTCTACAGTATGAAGGGGTACTGTGTAAGGCACACCTATGATATTAGCATTTGCACCACTGGAATCCAATGAATTTAATGACGGAATTACCATATCTGACACATTACCAGAAAGTAAAGCTGGACGATTTGGATTCTGTTCGTCCATAATACTAGTCGGGACTGATGTGATAGTCTCATTAGGCTGTGTGCTAGTGTCAGACACAACAGCACCTATTACAAGCGGTAAGTTAACTGCAGGAGCAGTCCCTTGTGGAATACTAATTTGCACTTGACTTGGCATTAAAATAACTTGTGACAGGACTTCAGCCTCCTGACTTGTATTTACTGGGAAAGTTCCCTGAGTGACATTTAAATTTCCCTGTACATCTTCTACAAGAGTGCCTGCACTTAACTGCTGAACACTTCCACCAGAAAACATTAATGGTGTTTCATGAGGAGTAGCCACTGTCTTGTTCTCTTGATTTAAAGTGTGATCACCCTGAGAATTTTCGTTTAATGGTTGAAGCAATCCAGTTAACCCAGTTGATGTATTAATATGAGAGTGTATTGGATTCAAACTGGCTGAAAAAGGGGACTCTGACTCCTTTCTACAAGAGGGTGAGGGTACAACACGAGAAACTCCTCTACCTGAGTCTGATAAAAGTGTTGCTTTTAAGATGCTTACAGTGGTTTTGCCTGTGTCTGACAGCTGAGATGTATTATCAAGTGAAGGAGCATTGTTGCCATAAGGTAGGATTGTTGGCATCTGCATGCCATGACTTGTGACCCCTGAAACCTCTGAACAAGTTGGGAGATTAGACCAAGTTACAGAGGGTGTTTGTGAAATTACAGACTGAGAACTATTTAAAGCTGATGAAACAGATGTTACAGGCACTTGTTGAAGATACTCAGTTCCACTAGAATTAAGATCTTTTACACTCCCAGACTGAACAGTCATAGCCACTGAAGACGATGTGCCTATTGATACTGTCAATGTTTCTGCTGGAGTTGTGACAGTAGAGTGTGTTGTAACACAAGACAGATATGCTGGACTGTAATTCAAGGCATCTGATGCACCTTGTGGATGTGTTGCTGTCTTTGTCAGCATAGTATCATCTAATGATGAAGTTAAGCTCTTCAAAATATTCCCATCTCCTGACAAGGGCATGGAAGTTATTGCTGAGGTAGAGTTACTGTTACTGGAGGCTAGGGATGCAGAGGGTTGGGTAGAGATGTTGGACATCATATCTTTACCTTCACTCTGTGGGTTTGAAGTAGTTGTAGCCACAGATTCTGTTGCAAAAACTGGTGGTGACCCATCTTTAGCCACTCCTGATTGATCACTTACACTGTATTCAACACTAAAATTACTCACCCCTTGATTTATCATTGCCTTCGTAGTATTTATAGCTGGATCTATCATCCCTTCTAAACAAGGAGATAATGCCTCTGAAATTTTTGGAGTGACTGGCATTGTGCAAGTGGGAGACTTCCTTTCAGCATCTGTCAAATTCACACTTTGTCTTCCACTCTGCAAGATAATGCTGCTAACGCTTGGAGGTGTCTGTGGTATATGTATTGGTGTTTGTGGCATGGGGCTCATCACTGGACCAGGTACAGAGGGGAGGACTGGCATAGGACTATACTGTCCATCATAACCCATGGACTCACTAGGACTTTTCTGTGGAAATGAACCCTTACTCTCAAGATCTTGTGATGCTTTATGTAGTGTGTGTTCTTGTGACTGTAAAGAATCTGAGGTTGCTGGAGGTGTATGAGGTGTCTGTGCAGATGGTACAGGTGTTAAAGGTGTAATAGGAGTCAGAGGTGCCTGAAGTGGAGTCATGGGTGCATGAAGTGGAGTCATGGGTCCCTGAAGAGGAGTCATAGGTCCCTGAAGAGGAGTCATGGGTCCCTGAAGAGGAGTCATGGGTCCCTGAAGAGGAGTCATGGGTCCCTGAAGAGGAGTCATGGGTCCTGAAGAGGAGTCATGGGTCCCTGAAGTGGAGTCATGGGTGCATGAAGTGGAGTCATGGGTCCCTGAAGTGGAGTCATGGGTCCCTGAAGTGGAGTCATGGGTCCCTGAAGTGGAGTCATGGGTGCATGAAGTGGAGTCATGGGTCCCTGAAGTGGAGTCATGGGTCCCTGAAGTGGAGTCATGGGTCCCTGAAGTGGAGTCATGGGTCCCTGAAGTGGAGTCATGGGTCCCTGAAGTGGAGTCATGGGTCCCTGAAGTGGAGTCATGGGTGCATGAAGTGGAGTCATGGGTCCCTGAAGAGGAGTCATGGGTCCTGAAGAGGAGTCATGGGTCCCTGAAGTGGAGTCATGGGTGCATGAAGTGGAGTCATGGGTGCATGAAGTGGAGTCATGGGTCCCTGAAGAGGAGTCATGGGTCCCTGAAGTGGAGTCATGGGTGCATGAAGTGGAGTCATGGGTCCCTGAAGTGGAGTCATGGGTGCATGAAGTGGAGTCATGGGTGCATGAAGTGGAGTCATGGGTCCCTGAAGTGGAGTCATGGGTCCCTGAAGTGGAGTCATGGGTGCATGAAGTGGAGTCATGGGTGCCTGAAGTGGAGTCATGGGTGCATGAAGTGGAGTCATGGGTCCCTGAAGAGGAGTCATAGGTCCCTGAAGAGGAGTCATGGGTCCCTGAAGAGGAGTCATGGGTCCCTGAAGAGGAGTCATGGGTCCCTGAAGTGGAGTCATAGGTCCACGAAGTGGAGTAATGGGTACATGAAGTGCATTAATGGGTACATGAAGTGGAGATACAGAGTGAGGAGGGTGAGGTGTGACTGGAGTCTGAGATCCTGTTATGGCCTGGGTATTACTTGAAAATGTCTTTGGTTCCTGGTGATGTTCTAGTGTTCCTGACTTAAGGTGGCTGTCTTCATCAAACTGTGAACTATCTTCGGGTGACTGATGAGCAGTCTGTTGCAATCTCTGTTTGTGTGACTCTGTAGCCTGAACAGGTGATGTATTGGTTTGTTGTGCTGAAGATTCTGATTGTACTCTCGGACTAGAAGCTATTGCATGCGTGCTGGTTGTATCAGAAGGAACGGAGGTTTCTGGGTTGTGAACTGATGCCTCTGGTGTATGAAGGGGTGTCTGAGGAGCATGTGCATGAGGTGTATATGGCATATATAAAGGTGACTGAGAGACACAGGTCTGAGGTGCATGGGATGGTGTCTGTGGCAAGGGGCTCATGACAGGGCCAGGAGCACTGGGCAGACTGGGGAGTGGACTCATCATTGGTGGCTCATTACTCTCAACTCCATAATGGCTTGGTGTGTGAGGCATTGGACTTACAAGCGGTCCAACTGATGGATAAACTGGCATAGGGCTCATCATGGGAGGAAGGGGAAAATCATCTGTTTCAGAATATGCAGGTGTTGGAGGAATTGGGCTCATGGCTGGCGTCTGAGCTGTTGTTGTGGGGTTTTTAACTAAAGGAAGCTGCTGCGGCATCTGAGCAATATGAGCAGGTGTCTGAGGCATTGGACTGATGGCTGCTTGAACAGTAAAATGTTCTGCAGCCTCTCGAAGGCTACCAAATGGATATGAATGATGAGATGACATGTCTTCATTACTGGGCACAGGACTCAGTATGGAGAAGCTCTCTCCAATGCTGTGTGTTGGTGTGTTTGCAAGCGGGCTTACAATGGGGACTAACATTGAGGGATAGACAGGCATGGGACTCATTCGAACAGGAGAGGTAGTGCGCACGGGGGTCGGTGGGATTGGACTCATCACTGGACCAGGAGCCATGGGTAAGATAAAGGGTGCACTACTCTGAGGTGTCATGGAGGCTGAAAGATTAACAGTGGGTTCAACTGGACTCAAAGGCTGTAAGCGCAAATTTATGTCTTCGTGCGGCTGATGCCGAGGGGTGGGGGCCATTGGACTCATTGGAGGTTGAATAGATTCCATAAGAGGGAATGCATTATTGCCACTATCAGAGACTGAGCAGAAGTCATCTCTATGTGCAGCTGGAGTGCAAGGTATTGGACTCATGAGAGGTAATGATGTATCTATGAAAGGTAAGTTGAAGTCATCTTGGTCAAGAATATCTCTGGCATCTTTCTTTTCCTCTCTTCTCTCAGGAATGTTTGTGAACCCACTGTCTTCCTTATGGGGAAATTCCTGAGAACGAAGATTTGTCTCTCTCCCTGGAGCCTTTGCTTTACAAAATGTTGAAGCTAGTGAAGGAATTGATTTCAAACTCCTCATTTTAGTCATTTCTTCACCTGCAGACTTTTCATGACGGAAAGGTTTAGGTTCCTTGCGTTCCACTGGCCTTCCTGGTTTAAAGCCACTGCTGATTTCTGTCTTGTTCCAACCACTTTTTGTGTTGTCTTTTGTACTAGTATCTTGTACTTGTCTCAATCTTTGTGGTGGTACAAAATGGGCTTCTGTTCTATGTACTTTCTTTCCCTGTTGACTTGAAACATCAGGGTGTGGGGAAAAATCTACTTCTTCTGTAACCTGCTGGCAACTTGTTTCTGCTGCTTTGTTATAATTGTGTGGCTTTGACCATCTGCTACTTGATGACTGCATATGAGCTTGGGAATGCGTGTCCTGTGGTTGATGTCTCTGATTCCCAGGTGCCATCTGCTGTCGTTTTACCTGTGAAAACTGTTGCTTGTTATTTGGAGACACCAGGGATCTATTCCCTTGTGAAGACTGAGCCCTATTACTTGAGGAAATTTGTGATCGTTCCACTTGTGGTGGTGGTTGTCTGTTCCCAGACAGAGATCTGTTGGCCTGTGGAGGTCCTTGTTTATTTCCTGGAGACACCTGTTGCCTGTTCCCTTGTGATAATTTAGGCCTATGTCTACCAGGAGAAATGTCTGTGATATTTGACTGTTGTGGCAAATTTTCTGCAGATGGTGTTCTACCTCCAGATCCAGACTGCCTGAATCTACTTCCATGTTGTGCATGCTTGTTGTCCATGTGTTGTTGGTAACGACTTCTCGGAGGAGAGCGTGTGTCAGGATGATGCTGATGACCCCCTTGTGGTGTATGGTAATGACTCCCTGCCTGAGATGAGGGCCGTGGGAAATTCCTATCCTTCCTATGAGCAAGTGATGCTGCCTGCTGATTGGAAGGCCTGTGGGCTCCTTCTGATCTCGAAACATTTACATGCATTCTGTCATCAGCTGTCTCTCCCTCTAAAGCTGTTTTCTGAAAAGGCTGGTTTTTCCTTCGAGAATCTTCTTTGCCTTGAACCTCTGACACTTCAGAAAAAGCATGATGCATTGCTGACCTTCCTCTATGTTTCATGCTTTCAAAATTTGCCTTTGACTTTCTTGATTTTTGCATCTCACCATACTCCACTCCATGACCTAACTCTTCCTCCCCTTTCTTTGAGTGAGGAATATTCTGCTGCTCAGAAATAGATTCTACTTCCACACCAGCACGGCCATGCACATTCTGTCTAGCTTGTCTCTTTTGTTCTGATGGGTATCTGCTTCGTAATTCTACCTCAACCTTACTCTTCGATGTGTGGGGTTCCCTAAGTGGACTCAGTGGCGCAGGAACTTTTCCAATGCCAATAAAGGGGGACGATTCCATACTTTTCACTGCATTCTTTGATAACGGCACGACCTTCTTCTCTTCCTTGCTTGCTCGATTTCTTGATGAAAATTGCGTGCCTTTGGGGGAAAGCCCACTCTCAAGAGTAGAGTAACTTTCTTTTTTCTCATGTTCCTTTCTATCTGAAGGTGGATGGTCATGAGAGGAATGAGATATCTGGCTGGAATGTTTTGGAAGGTTAGATTTCGATGGAAATCTTTGAGTTTTAGGAGATTTTTTCACAATAGGCTCAGGTTCCACTGGAACAGGTGATGCAGGAAATAAATTCATTCGAGCATGACCAGGGGATTTAAACTGCTGATCTGGTAAATACAGGGAGGAAATATCAGACGGCTGTGAAAGTGACTGGCACATAGAAGTTGGACTTGAACCACCACCAGGAGTTCTTGGTCTCTCTGGCAAGCTACTGGCCATGAGATCTGGGTCAAAAATAGATTCAAACTGCTGGTACGGATTTCTTGCAACATCATCTCCTGAATCATTGGAGAAAATGTTCTGCACTTCATCATTCCCCCCTGGTGTCAGAGGTCTTTCTGGAAAGTTATAATAATCATAAAAATAGTCATGCGAGTGTTGTTTTTGGGATGATGATGGGGTGCGAAAGGTGTGATCATCCCTAACTTCCCTTCCTGGAGTCTGTGGACGCTCTGGAGTCTTATTATCATCATCAGAATCAAAAGTATCAACAAAAGGCTCTACAGTTACGGGTTTAATGTTTGTTACTTGCAACCCCTCCTCCTGTGTTGGAGTAGATCCAGAGGAAGAGGCTGGAGGAGAAAAAGACCCAAACAACCGAGCCATCTTTTTCTTGGACTTCCGTTTTGATTCTGAACTTCCATTAGATACTTGAGCAGTTTCACCAGACGATGACTGGGCCCTTGCCGAAGTCTGGCGTTTATTTCCCTTTTTGGCTTCAGTCTTTTGTACAACAGAACTAGGCTCTGAAAAGCCGTGCTTGCTGCTGACTGGATCCCCTGGTGTAGGAGGGCAATCAAAGTTGAACCAGTCAGGATTATCACAGTCAGACATTTTCCTAAGGGGCATTGCAGATTCAGACTTTTTTGAAGATGTTGCTGCATGAGATGGTTTATTCTTTTGTGATCTGGGCACCTGATTCAAAACACCAACTGCTGGATTGGTAACTGGATCATGAACTGGGAGATCACTACCTGGAGTCTGTGGAGTCATGTCATAATCCATATCAAACACATCTGTGCTAGCCAACAGAACTAGGCTCTGAAAAGCCGTGCTTGCTGCTGACTGGATCCCCTGGTGTAGGAGGGCAATCAAAGTTGAACCAGTCAGGATTATCACAGTCAGACATTTTCCTAAGGGGCATTGCAGATTCAGACTTTTTTGAAGATGTTGCTGCATGAGATGGTTTATTCTTTTGTGATCTGGGCACCTGATTCAAAACACCAACTGCTGGATTGGTAACTGGATCATGAACTGGGAGATCACTACCTGGAGTCTGTGGACGCTCTGGAGTCTTATTATCATCATCAGAATCAAAAGTATCAACAAAAGGCTCTACAGTTACGGGTTTAATGTTTGTTACTTGCAACCCCTCCTCCTGTGTTGGAGTAGATCCAGAGGAAGAGGCTGGAGGAGAAAAAGACCCAAACAACCGAGCCATCTTTTTCTTGGACTTCCGTTTTGATTCTGAACTTCCATTAGATACTTGAGCAGTTTCACCAGACGATGACTGGGCCCTTGCCGAAGTCTGGCGTTTATTTCCCTTTTTGGCTTCAGTCTTTTGTACAACAGAACTAGGCTCTGAAAAGCCGTGCTTGCTGCTGACTGGATCCCCTGGTGTAGGAGGGCAATCAAAGTTGAACCAGTCAGGATTATCACAGTCAGACATTTTCCTAAGGGGCATTGCAGATTCAGACTTTTTTGAAGATGTTGCTGCATGAGATGGTTTATTCTTTTGTGATCTGGGCACCTGATTCAAAACACCAACTGCTGGATTGGTAACTGGATCATGAACTGGGAGATCACTACCTGGAGTCTGTGGACGCTCTGGAGTCTTATTATCATCATCAGAATCAAAAGTATCAACAAAAGGCTCTACAGTTACGGGTTTAATGTTTGTTACTTGCAACCCCTCCTCCTGTGTTGGAGTAGATCCAGAGGAAGAGGCTGGAGGAGAAAAAGACCCAAACAACCGAGCCATCTTTTTCTTGGACTTCCGTTTTGATTCTGAACTTCCATTAGATACTTGAGCAGTTTCACCAGACGATGACTGGGCCCTTGCCGAAGTCTGGCGTTTATTTCCCTTTTTGGCTTCAGTCTTTTGTACAACAGAACTAGGCTCTGAAAAGCCGTGCTTGCTGCTGACTGGATCCCCTGGTGTAGGAGGGCAATCAAAGTTGAACCAGTCAGGATTATCACAGTCAGACATTTTCCTAAGGGGCATTGCAGATTCAGACTTTTTTGAAGATGTTGCTGCATGAGATGGTTTATTCTTTTGTGATCTGGGCACCTGATTCAAAACACCAACTGCTGGATTGGTAACTGGATCATGAACTGGGAGATCACTACCTGGAGTCTGTGGAGTCATGTCATAATCCATATCAAACACATCTGTGCTAGCAACCCGAGAGAACCTCCTTGACTGAGTAACTGGGGTGGTCATGTGTCTGTCCCTGACCGCCTGCAACTTCTGTGCCCTAATGCCAGAATCCGGGGAGGAGGACCTGGAGGAGTCACTGTCATCTTGCCTCTCTGAGCCACTTTCAGACTGGCTAGAACTGGAGGAGTCACTTACCTCATTTGTTCTTAGGGTCTGCCCAGTGGGAGTTGCTTTGGCCTCCCTCTCTGACCTAAGGCAAAAATGGAAATTAATCTCAAAGAAAGAGAAAATGTACAAGACAGAGTGTGAATGTCACAACAAATTTATACAAACATTTTAGAGTACTGTAAATGCATGATGTTTAGAAAGGATAGCACAAACTATACAGAAAAAGAGGTATAATAAACAAAAGAAAAAACTTTGTTAAAAGTTATGACTATTCTTGAAACATTATATCTGCAAAGCAAATCTGTAGTATGAATACACTAATAATAAAAAAGTATAGGTACAGATGACAGTTCCTATATAAACCATATAAACTGTATTTGCCAGCAAATAAGGTGCAATTTTTCCAGAGTAAACAAAAATTACACTGATAAATATGCTCCAGTTATCACCGGTTGTGTGGACCTGTACCCTTCTACAAACACAAATACTGAGTTTGGCAAATACAAAATGTCAAGGAAATTGACATCAAACTAACAGCAGAGTTACTGAAGAAATAAAACAGTGGCTATACCCATAGTTGTACATAAGATGACCCCTTGACATCTCGGTATAGTTCTTCTCCAAACAAATGAAGCGTACATGAGATATTGGTATTTCTTTTTATATTAGTTACCCTAAAACAGTCCTAGATATGAAAACTGTGTTTGCTTGAATCTTGCAGTTTGAACAACAAAAATAAATTAAATATTTCATGGTTGATGTGGCCAATGTTTAGTTATGCTTTCTTCATAAATGTATACTGAATTTTTGCATAAATAATGCTTCCCATAAAAAATAAAATCTTTATAATAAGTATTAATTCTACATCCACAGAATGTACATAGCCTTGGGTTAGACAAAACAAATGTGTAGTAACATAAAAAAAAAAAAAAAAAAATAGCAGTATTATATTATGGTTTAATGGTACAAAGACAATATTTAGTTTTGATGGAAATTAAACCCTATCTTTGTATTATTATTATTTTTTTATCCCCCAAACAGGTAAATCTTTGTAGTAGATGCACCTTATACACCAGCAAATACTGTATATTAGCATGCCAGACTGCATAAAAGTAGTCATTAAAGTCAAAGGAACTGCTA